TTAATTCGTCAGGTTACCTAAAAACTGTCATCAGCGCGTCACTTGTAAAATATGAGGTTGGTAATGAGACAGAGAAAATTTTCGCACGGTCATGTCAGCGATTACTGTTTTTTAATATAACTAATTGTTTCTAAGGTTGTTCAAGTGTTGTAAAAAAAAAACCTAAAGTAAACTCAGTGATTTCCAGTATTTAGTCTTTTATTCATCACCAATCAAACCACCTAGACTTCGTCATACTGCTGCGATCCGAACCCGACAGCGAAAAAGTCGAACATTTTTGGTGGCCCATGAGGAGAATAATTGGATAAAATTGGATCAATCTATATCAAGGAAAAGGAATCACTCATTCAAGAAGGACGAAAAATATTTTCGAAGTATCAACGAAACTTATTTCGAAATTGTCATTCAATTCAACTAGCATCGAGCAGCCATTTTGTGAGCTCATCAAGCGACGCGGAGTCGACGATTGAAAATCATAATACTATTACTAGCAGTGCAAGCAGTAAAGGTGTATTGTTTGTGCCATAATCAGTTTAGTGCGAGTGATGTATCGGTGAATAAATTTGGTACCTAAAGCAAGCATCAACGGTGCCACAGTGCAGATGCTCAGTAAGCTATGCCACAGTATAGCTAAAGGCAGCAACCGGCAAGATCAATTGGAGTCATCGTTCAAGTGGATGTCAATCAATATTCAATTGTAATTTAATTATATATATTGCAAACAATTGATGAGTTCATATTGTATTTCATTGTAATTAGTAATTCATAATATGGTTCGAATTGTCACTATTAGGTGAAATTAATTTAATTTAAATTGTTACTCAGTTTTTCTCGTTTGTTCAATTATTTCTATACAAAATGGCAAGTAGGGTTAAGGTACAATAAGGTATAAGGTATAAGGTACAATGTTAACAGACTTTGCTAATACAATTAGGTCAAATGCCTCTAGTGTTGCGGCCTCAGTCGCAAAACGACATTTTGACAAATATTATGTAGTTTACCCAGGCATATGAGGCACTTCTGTTATTGGAATCAGGGGATGTGTCTGAGGGATCACCTGGGACCAGAAGTTCGCCCCTGCCAAGGACTTCAACATCAGTCATGACTTCAACTCAACCTCGGGGTAGACCAGCTGCTACCAGGACTTCATGGGGCACCTCCAGGGGGGTGCTCTCATCATCAACGCAGCCATCATCACACCACCCAGCACCACCAGCTCAAGTAGCGGAATCAAGAAGTCAAGTGATATGTTCCTTTTGTAATCAAAAAGTCACCCATTGTACCGGTGTCAGCAATTCACAAGGATGTCACCACGAGACCGGAAGTCATGGGCACGCAGGACTGGTCACTGTTACAAATGCCTTCGGAAGCACTTTGCAAATGAGTGCACACATAGAAATTGGTGCCGGTATTGCAAGTCACCTGATCACAATTCACTCATCTGTACTAGCGATTTTTTTTTCCTTTGTCTCTCTTATCACATAAATAGGCATCATTTATTATTACTAAAGTTTTATTTTTAGCATATTATTTCCAGTCTTTTTATTCAGAAAAACGTATCATTCATAATCATATTTTTTTAGATCAACTCCATGATGAGCAAGCAAGGCAGATTGATGAGTCTCCTGATTCTACACTGCAACCTCTTCAAGCAGAAGATTCTTCTAACTCTGAACCACAACAGGCTGATGACCCCCAGGATCCTACAACGGACCTCCAGGCTAATAACTTCTTCGAAGATCGTAATATCATTTTATTACCGAGTGGACGTAGAGCAGCCGCAACACCCAGACATTGTGTTTTCCCCAACTGCCTAAATGCAGAAAGATATCGTGTGCAATTTCGTGTTCGGAGCCGTGTGGTACAAGAAATCAATTACTACATACCACGAACTGCTCGTGTATGTAACTTCCATTCACCAAATTATATGTACCACAATCTTTACTCATCGAGCAACAGTTATAACACATTTAATAGTGGTCAAATCGAAGATCTGGTGGCCATTTTTAAAGATCAACTCAATATTCGGTTTGATTTTGAATACGTCACAACCATTCCAGAACATCTTTTGCATTACTGGATTGGAATAACAAAACGCCAATTAAGAAACTTCGTGGAGGTAGCTTTGCATTAACTGCATTATTATGCAAATTACGCACAGGGGACTCTGGAGACAGACTGTCTGCATTATTCCTGGTCCCACGGCGGACAATCGAAACGTTGATGGACATAGCTAGAGAATATTTGGTGTTACATTTTGTCCCTAGACATTTAGGACTTCAACGTATGTCTCGGCATGAAGTTGTTTCAAAAAAATCTATTATAGGCCAATGGTATATTTGGAAATTCCGAATCCCTTTTAGAAGAAAGACAGGCAATAGTAATATGTGATGGTACGTATATCTATACACAAAAAAGCACCAACTACTTTTTTCAAAAATCTATATTTTCCACTCATAAGTACCGAAACCTTTTGAAACCATCTATGATTGTTTGTTGTGATGGTCATATTCTTGATGTTCTTTGACCTTTTCCAGCAACCACCAATGATGCCACAATAATGTCATCATGGATTGAACAACCAGATGTCTTGAATTTTTTTAAAGAAAATGAAATTTTTATTTTAGTGACTGTATAGAAAAAACAAACATAATTGTGGTTTTGAGGCTCATATGCCAGAAACACTTTCTCCTGGCCATTTGGCATTTTTTATTTGGCCACAACTCACAACCCTAGAGGGCAACCAATAAATAGATGGGCTGTGGAAGCAGTGAATGGCCAAATAAAAAGAGACTTAAGTATTTTAACCGTGCTGGACCACATTTGATAAAAGATTTTAAAATAGTAGCCGCATTATTAAATAAATTCTCCACCCCATTCACAGATTCAATCCATGCCAATGAAATTGTGAGCATCATTCATGAAAGAATTTTTTTAAGAAATGTACTAGCTGGTATTATAGCCACGCATAATCTAAATAGGTGTAATGCATATTTTAATGACATCACAACAGTTGATATTGCATTTCCACAACTAAATATGGAAGATTTAATATTACTTGCTTGTGGGACCTATCAAATAAGGCAAGCGATTGACATTCGGAAATATGCCGGGACAATGAAGTGTATTTATCCCCTTTAGATGGAGAAGCTCCCATGCTTATTAGAGCAAGAATAAAATCCCGGCATATTTCGAGAAAAATATATAACGTGTTTATTGCTCTAGATAGGACACAAGTTGGTATACGTGCCATCATAGGTTACTGATGTAACTGCATTGTTTGCCTGGGGACAATTGGTTGTTGCTCACATGTAATGAGCATAATGTGGTATCTTGGATATGCCAGACATCTAGACAATTTATCACCTCCTGCTGAAACATTAGACAGAGTACTTATAAGAATAAAAGTGAATAAATTGTAAAAGCAACAAATCTTGTTTTATTTTACTTCTTTCTAGCAAGTATTGGTTTTCTATACAAACTATCAACCTATATATCACCCCCTTCAAGTTCTATTTCCACAGGAAAAAGCAGTCTTTGTCCTTGTCTAAGGCCCCTTTTTTATCTATAACAAAAATCATCAAAGTTCTTTTAGCAGTTTAGTTGATAACACCTTAGGCCCGTATTAATAGATTGCTCTCATCTCTGAGAGCAATCTTGAGATGTTTTATATGAAAACAGTATCTCAAGATCGTAGTCTCAGAGTGGGAACGTTCTTTTAATACGGCCTTTACGGGACTATGAGCCCCTTGATCATAAAAGTGCCTTACCAACAACTTCTAACTCGGACTACTACGGTGTTTTCTTTTATGGCATTGCTCTGGTATAGCGATGGGCGTTGAATTAACGAACGGTTTAAATAGACGGTCTACGTTCAATCGACGCTTCGACGTTCTACAGTTCATTAGTTAACAAGTTGAATTCATAGACGGCTAAACTGAGAGTCCACAGCGTTCATATCTACTGGCAACGCGACGACGACGCGTAAACGTATCCGGTTTACCGGTTACAAGTCCATACGTTCGTTCATTCGTTGAAATAAAGCAATTTGAAACTTAAGTATATGGAGTGGGAGTTGATATTTGTTCGTTTTTTAAACTAGAGTTGTTAGAAAGTCAAGAGTATTCTGATATTGCGTGAAAGAGTACGTCGATGGATCTGGCTAAACGATGCAGTGCAGGATGAACGGGTTTGCAAATCGACAGGGCTATATTGAAGCTCCTGCTGCTTATCTAGATGAGTAATTGATTACCTAAATAAATAGATAACTTCAAAAAATGATTTTTATTTGACACCTACTTTGCCTTATACTTCGCAGTCAATGAGAAAAGTATTGTATCCTCGTAAGTCTATAAAAATAATAAATTAACATGGATCGCGATTTTTGTAGACAATGTTATAATGTTGATATTACAATATGTACTCTAATAAACTAATAGAAAAAAATATATGCCATATATTATGTTTTTATTTATTTTTTAAGCATTTAACTGCTAGATGTTTAAATCTAAAGAAAAGTTTACTAGGTTTTTTTTTCTAGTTAACTTTTTTTAGATTTATGCCATATATTACTAACCTGCTCGTATAAAAATTATTCCCTCCTGATCAGAAGGTCTAAGCAGCAAAATGTCCAACAGCGCAAACGTCTAATGAGCAGTAAGTCTAATTAGCAAAATGTCCATGTAGCAAAACGTCCAACTATCAGATTGCCTGTATAGCAGAACATCTATATGTCACATCGTCAACTTCTCAAAATGTCTGGATACTCGGGCACAAAATTCAACACACACATTGCATCGGGAGGGAAACGGACACGGCATTATAATAATTATGTACATATAGACTCTTTGGTCTATGTACTCGTAGCGTATATCATATCTTTTTAATTGTGACTGACACTTTGACTGAGGCTATTTGATTAGCATTACTCATTTGTTTTTTTCCTGTATCGATTGCTAAATCATTACAAATACAATAGTTCTGACTTCTAATTTTTAAAAATGGATGAAGAACGCACATTTACTTTCATAGAAAGTCAAAAGATGAAGCGTGTGCTGCTGTTGAATGGTCACAGATACAATTTAAATATCACAAATAAGGGAGGGTCAACTCTATGGAGATGCTCCAAGCGCAATGAGTGTAGTGCATCTGTTACAATTAATAAAGACGAAAACAAGATAATTCGTCAGTTAAATGAGCATACTTGTAAAGCTAATTTCGATAAAAACAGGGCAGACATAGTGATGGACAAATGCAAGAAATTAGTTCGCCAAAAAGCAAAACTTATCCAGATTTTTTTTAGAAAGAATTCGGAAAAGTGGATGAGATTCAACAGGTACCCGATTTTAACTCAAAAAAAGACACTGTTCAGGGCTCGCCGCAAATATTTGAATGTTTGTAATAGTGAATTCGAAAACTTGAATGATCTTACAATTCCAAAAATAATGGCCAAAAGTTTCCTTGTTCGTGAAGATGGATGTGACAATAATAAAATTTTAAGTCTACCGTAGACCATTTATATATATATATATATATATATATATATAAATAAGTTATATATTGTAATGTATTGCAAGTAAACTTTATTATAAATTTATATTTTTTAATACACTCCATCACCGAAACTTGTCTGCCGCAGCCGGTAAGGATTCCACGTCGCGAGTGAAGAAACAAACATAGTTCGCGTAAACTCCGCGGCTGGTGTATTAACACCACAACGGTGGAATCACGATCCGAACAAAATATATGTCGGCGGATGGCGTCTCACTCGCTCCTTCGAAACGTTAAACCGACAACAAATGTCATCAGTCAGTGTACCATTGCTTTGTGAAACGTCAAGTAATGACAGTGACAGCTGTCATCACTTGGGAGTGGTCTATGCTAATGGTAGTATTTAAGGGGCTATGCTTCATTGGAAGGGGCGAAGAGCCGCACGGTGTATGTGTTTCTTCGTTTCAGTTCTCCTCGTGTCTCCGTCGTGGTAGGTCGTGTGACTCCGTCCGCCCGAGCCCGCCTGCCCCACAGTGCCGAGTGTAGTTCGAAATACCCTCCTCCGCGTTCGCGTGTGAGGTCGCCTAACGACCACCAACAAAAATCTGTGTTTTCCTTGCGATATAGACGCCTAAGTGTTTTGTGTAGTGTTTTTTGATAGTGTGATCGTCGAATCACCTGTGTTTTTATTGTTAAAAACAACAAGTGTTTCCCCGTAGTGTTTTTCATACCCACCCTCCATTCCACTTTTTCCAAAACTACCTTCTCCCACCCATTCGCTATCTCTTTCCCTCTTTATTTCCACCTACCCACCTAATTTCACTTTTCTTTTCTACCCCCAGTCCGACTTGGTGATCATTCCTCGGAATGCCGCCAAAACCCCTCCCTCCCGGGAAGCCTCCGGACACCAAAACTGCTAGGGCTGCGGCTCCAGCCGCGCCCGCCCTCCCACCAGCGCCGATGGCGCCTCCACCTGTGCGTCAGCCGCCTTCAAGGCAGGCGACCAGCACCCCCAACCCCGGCAGCACCGCTGCAAGCAGCGCGACAACTGAGTTGCCTCGACCCTGCTCTGCGCCGGTCACCGCCCACCCGCGCGACCCCCGACGCCGCCAACTGGACGAAGACGATGTCGTCGGAGGCGACGAGAAGCGCCCTCGACATGGGCCATCGCCGCCACAGCCCAGACCAACATCGCCGCCACAGCCCAGACCAACATCGCCAGCCACCCCTGGCACGAGCGGCACATACGTGCCCCCCCCCCCCCCCAAAGGAGCCAAACCACCTCCTCAGCTACATCCGAAGAGTCGGACAGCGAGTCGTCCGCCTCGGAGGAGGGATCGAAGGGCTTTACGGCCCTCTCCCTCCCCACGCCGACGCAGACTGCACCGCCAGCATCACGTACTACAATATCCACCAGCTGGAAGAAACCCAAATACGGTCATATGCGCAAGCTATATCCCAACCGTCGCAACCTTCACCCCCCCCCCCCGCTCACCGCACACCCCACCAGCAAGCCAACCGGCCGTTAGAGGTTATCCGCCTATCGTCGTCGAAAAACTCCCTAACTGGCCCACCCATTTCGCGGAGATCAAACGAATCCTGGGACACACTCCCAACGCGCGCCCCTTCAAGTCAGGAGTGCGATTCACCCCAAAAAGCGAAAAGGAGTCTCGCTCAGTACAAAAGTACCTTGTAGTAGCCTCAGAGGCCGACAAAAAGATCACTTGGTACTGTTACTCGCCTACAGAAGACAAACCCATCAAGGTCGCCATAAGAGGGATCCCGGCCGACACAAATCCACAACTTATCATAGAAGCGCTCGAGGAGAGAGGCTTCCCTATCACCTTTGTCAGGAGCATTCGTGGCAAGCGCGGACGACCCGGGTGCATTTTCCATGCGCAACTCGAAAGCATGCCACGAGAAGATATTTCCAGACTTTATGCCACAGACGAGCTGCTCGGAATGCCTGGCGTAATCATAGAGGCTTGGAGACCTAGGGCTGGCCCAGCCCAGTGTCACCGATGCCAGGCATTCGGCCACAACTCGGCCAATTGTCACAGGCCCAAAAAGTGCCTTCGCTGCGCCGGTGACCACTCTGCCGCCGACTGCCCACGCACACAAACGGAAGCTGCGACCTGCGCCAACTGCAGCAAAAATCATGCAGCGAACGACAGGAGGTGCAAGGTCTTCCTCCAACTTGCACGCAGGATGAACCAGCGCGTCCAGCCTCCCATCCCTGGTAGAAGATCACAACCCCAGCCCACTAGACCAACCCAACAAGTGAACCCGCCGAGTGTGGACCTACCGGAAGCACAACCGGGACCAACTCTGGCCCCACCAGCCAACCCGCCCACAAGCAGGAACGCTCCTGTTGCCAACAGAAGGAAGAGGAGAAGAGGGAGAAGGAAGCCACAAGCGGCCGCCCAACCAGAAGCTCCTACGGGCCCCTCATCCCTCTACCCTGCCATTCCTCCTACCCAGACGGGTTTTCCCCAAGGGGGAGGCCCCCAGTCCATCTCAGCCCCCGCAGCCCCCACAGCCGCATTTCGCCCATTGAGGGCCGCTTCCCAAAGGACGGGACCTCCCCCTCCCCCACCAACGATGGCAACGCAAGTTCCCGTAACGGGACCCAAGGGCCCGCATTCACAAGCCCAACAATTCACATTTCGACCCCAAGCGGTCCAGCCCCCCAGACCGACTCCCAGACCGGCGTTCCGACCGCCCCCGCCCCCAACACAGCAAAGAGCTTTCCCAGAAGTCGCTCTATCCCATCCACCCAGAGGACACCAACACCCTCCCCCCCAACACACCCTGCCGCAGCTTCCTATGCTGACAGTGGTGTCCATACTCAACCGCCTGATGGAGGACATCGCCAGGGGAATGGATCCCACCCAAGCGATCATGGGAGCCCTGACCTGGCTGCTCCAGGGGGCAATAAACACAGGATGTTGAGAATATTATACTGGAACCCAGGCGGAATCCGCACCCACGTGAACGAGCTCCGCCTACTCTCGACCCAACAGGACGCGCACATAATTCTCCTGGGCGAGACGCTCCTGTCCAGCAAGCATCAGCTGAAAATCCCAAACTACACCACTTACCGTAGGGACGAATCAACCCCAGACGGGATTCCCTATAGGGGAACAGCGGCCCTCGTCAGAAGAGACATTATCCACGAGGAACTCCCCTGGCTCCCCTACAACTCCACACGAACCATAGGAGTTCGCACCAAGGCCGGAGACAAGATATATAAGATATACGCGGCTTACAGGCCCCCGACCACCCAGGTGCATGCGTCGGACTTAGATAAAATTTTCTGTGACGAAGTGCCCACCTTATTAGCCGGAGACATGAACTGTAAGCATAATTCGTGGGGCTCCGCTAAAACTAACATCGAGGGCCGCAGGCTCTTCAACTTGGCGGAGAGCCGGAATATTGAAGTTGTTGGCCCGCCCGACGCAACCCATGTCCCTGCCGACCCAATGAGGAACCCCGACACCATTGACGTTGCCCTCCACAAAAACTTCTCCGTGCCGGTCAGTGTGGAAGTAATCTATTCGACAAGCACCCAACACTTGCCTATCCTTATAACAGTGTGCACAGACCCAAACTTAATAACTCCGGCGCCGCCCAAAAACAAGACGGACTGGGCGGCCTACTCAAAAGAGCTCGGTGATTATCAGCTTCCATTTCCACTCTCCACCACCGAGGGAATAGAGTCTAACATTTCCCACCTCGTCCAGGCAATGAGGGACGCCAGGGAAAAATATACGGTCCAAGTCCGATCCCAAAGAAGGGACCCCCTACCCCTCTTCATAGCAAGAAAGCTAGCGGAGAAGAGCAGATTGAAGAAGCTCTGGGCCACTGGGCTCGCGCTGTCCCCAAATTAAGACGCAGCTGAACAAGATTACTGCCGAGGTCGCGTCCGAGATCCTAAACCGAGGCTAAACACCTCACGGCCCAATTCACTCCTCACCCAGCCGCCCAAGAAGCCTCCGACCACCACCAAAAGGTGGAGGAAGAGGTCCCCTCCAGCTGCCAGGCGATCACTTCTTTTCCCCGTCGGAGGTGCGTACAGTGGCCGCCCGACTCAACCCGCGGAAGGCTCCCGGCCCTGACAGCCTACCGACGTCAGCCTTGGCTGAACTGCCTCGCAGAGGCATCGCCGCATGGGCCCAAATCTTCAACGCCTCACTAAGGCTCTACCACTTCCCGAGCGCCTGGAAGTCAGGAAAAGTCATTATGATTCCTAAACCGGGAAAAGATCGAAGGCGCCCTGCCAGTTACCGTCCTATCACGCTGCTAGACCATATCGCGAAGCTATTCGAGCGGCTCATTCTGCGCCGGCTGAAAACCCAATTCAAGCCAAGGGACGAGCAGTTTGGCTTCCGAAGCGGCCACTCCACTGTGTTGCAACTGACGCGCCTCCTGCACCACCTAGCCGAAGCCCAAAACAAGGGACACTGCTCAGTGGCGGTGTTCCTTGATATCGAAAAGGCATTCGACCGAGTCTGGCACCCAGGGCTGATCTACGAGCTCTCCATTTCCAACGTCCATCCAGCTCTAACAAGAATAATAGCCTCGTACCTACAGGGCCGCACTTTCCACGTGCATGTCGAGGGAGCAGTGTCCTCCAGCTATCCCATTGAGGCAGGGGTCCCGCAGGGCAATGTCCTCTCGCCCTCCCTGTACAGCATCTACACGGACGACATTCCATCTATCAACGAGGACCTAAAGGAGTGGGAGAACAGGGTATACCTCGCCCTGTTCGCTGATGACAGCGCCTTTTTCACCTCCGCAGCATGGCCGAAGGCGGCGGCCATGAGAATGCAAAGGCAGCTTGACAAACTCCCCAAATGGATGGCACAATGGAGAGTGTCGGTAAACGTGGGCAAAACCGCCGCCATTTGCGTCACCAAAAAACGCCCTCCGCCCAAACTCAAATTAGACGGACACGAGGTAAACTGGGCCAGCTCTACTAAATACCTGGGGGTCATCATAGACAAGAACCTGTCCATGG